CCCGCGCGGGCGGGGAGGGAGGGGCGCACGGGCGCACCTGCTGCCCTGCGTCTCCGCCAACTCCCCTTCCGAAGAAGGTCCCCTGCTCTGCCGGGACGCCCCCTCCGTGCACCGAATGTCCCCGCCAGCACTCTTGGGTCCCCCGCTGGCCCCCCGGTGGCTTTGTGCTGTCCCCTGGCCGCTCCTGCCGAGTGAGCGCTCTCGTGCTGCCTGCCACGCGCTGGGACCGTGCCTGCTGCTTCCAGCCCGAAGCCCTAGGCGAAGCTAGTCCCCCAAATGTCGCACGTGTTTAATTTGTGTCATAAACCTTGCCCGTTTTAGTTAATAAGGGACGGCACCGTTTAATTTTCTTAGACGTTTCCGATTGTGTGTGACCCAAAAGAGTCAAAGCCAGTGTCGTTTAGGTAGGGGGAGTTATAGAGGATTTTTTTCTTTCTCAGACTTGTAAAAGACTTGAACGTGGATTAGAAACAAAACAAAACAAAAAAACCGGTTGCCTGCCTCCTGGCATAACTATCTGATGACATGGGGTCCTTGGGCCACTTATTGCCCTGGGGGTATTTTGTTTAACTGTGAATCGTAGAAAATAACAATACTACAAACTTTTAATTTTTATCTATTAATCGTTTTCTTGCGGGCTCTTACAGCTCTTCTTCCATATATCAGTTGTATCAAGCATATTTGTACATATGTTGCCATTATTTCCAAAACATTTTCTACTCGAGCCCTTGGTATAGGCTCCTCTTTTGTCCCCTCCCACCCTCGTGAATCCTTGATCAATTATATATTGTGTTTATTATTACGGATCTTACACTGTCCTCTGTTTCCCTTCACCCACATTTCTGTTATTCGTCCCCCTTTGGGAGTGGGGGTGGGGAGGGCTATATATCCAACCTACTACATACGATTTTTGACTTTATAAGTGCAAATGAATTTGTCTCAGTGGAATGTAATTGATTTTTGCCAAAGGTTCCCAAACAGTTTTGCATTCATTTAGAAAATCATTTTAATGTGCCTGCTTTGCTTTAAAATTTAGGTTCTTTGAATCTTCCTCTGAATCGGTGGTAACATCTTACTAGTTACCCTCATTAAAAAGTGAATTACAATAAGCCTTTGATAACTCTCTGTTGGATATTTGGGTGAGAGTCATGATCTTCCATTTTCCTAACATCTTTCTTTCAGTCATTCCTGCGCTATCTTTGTTTCTTAAAACGGAAATGTACTCCCTTGATCATCAGTTAGTTTAAAACTATTTTTTAAATTGAGATTGTTATTTTGAGATAATTTTGAATATTTTGAAAGGACAGACAATACCAGGAGTGGGAATCACTATTGTTATTTTCAATTGCTTTTAGTAGAACCTCACTGCTTTTTATCAAAGTGTTTCTCACATGGCATATTGGTTGCCTTGGGCTGCTTGCTCCTTGGGAGAAAGAGGAAGCTTTCTACTCCAGTAAAGAGTAAAAGTCTCAGAAACCACCGGGCAGGTCTACCTTGTGTGAATCAGAATCAATTCGATGGCAGTGAATTTGGTTTTGAAGTTTGGTAACAGATAGGTTGTCCAGATCTGCTGTAGCCTTTCTGAAGGTGATTCACCCCAACCCAAATTCTAACTCAGAAAGGCCTCATACAGAGTTGCTGAGCCTGTAAATCTTTAAGGGAGCTAACAGCCTCATCCTTTTCCCTCAGAGTGGCTAGTGAGTTTGAACTGCTAGTCTTGTGGTTAGCTATCCACACTTCGCAGCAGCCAGTCACTGATCTTCTTTTTTTAGTATAGGCTAGTTTGCTCTTTCTAGAATTTTGTATACAATGTAAGTAGCACACATCAGAGGGCAAGAGATCCCCCAATTTGTCTGAACATAAGGATTATCAAAAGTGCTTTTGAAAACACAGATTCCCCGAACCACGCTCAATGGGAATCCCAGAGAATTAGGAATCTGGGTTTGCCAGCCTCCAGGGCCTTCATAGGCTCAACTTGGAACTGTAAGAAATAAAGTGTGGGAAATATGGCCAAATAAAGCAGCTCGGAGTTGTGAAGGTGCTGTTGAGGGAGTTCTAAGCCACAGTGCCCTGATGGATAACAACATGCAATAAAATCATGGTCCGGTTCTGTGCCACCCTCACAACGGTTCTGTCTGAGCTTATTGTGACCACCATGCTAATCCGCCTCCTCGAGGGTCTTCCTCTTTCTCTGACCCTCGACTTTGTCCAGCAGGATGCCCTTTGCCAGGCACTAGTCTCCCCTGATCTGTACAAAGTATGTGAGAGGAAGGGTCACCGTCTTTGCTTCTACAGAGCTTTCTGGCTGTACCTCACGACAGTCATTTGTTTTTCTGGCAGCCAGGGTGCTCTCAACATTCACCAGCGTCATCATTCAGGTTCACCAATTCTTCTCAGGTCATCCCGATTCGCTGTCCAACTCTGACCTGCGTCGGACGTGCTTGGAAAGGCCATGGGTTCAGTCAGGCACTGCTTGCTCTTCAAAGTGACATTTTCGCTCTGCAACACGTAAGAGGTCTCGTGCAGCAGACTTGCCCAACGCTGTCTTGACCGCGGCTTCCGTGAGCATGAATCGTAGAACCCGTCAAAATGAAATCCTTTACAACTTCTATTTTTCCTCTGGTTCTTCGAGACAGAGTCCCCGGGTTTAGCTGGGAGGATTTGAGCGCTCACAATCTGGAGTTAGAAGCCTGGTGGTGAGTGGTTACAGGCTGGGCTGCTAACCACAAGCTTAGCATGGGAGAAAGACGGGCTTTCTGCTCCCGTAGAGAGTAACACTCTCGGATGCCCACAGGGCAGTTAGGCTCTAGTCCACGGGGGCGCTATGAGTCGGAATCGACTCCAGAGCAGTGGATTTTGTTTTTCTACATTGAGTTGCAATCCACACTGAAGGCTGCAGCCCAGTGCTTCCAGCCGTCCAGGCTTTCAGCAAGCAGGGGTGTGTCATCTGCGTACTACAGGTTGTTGATAAGCATTTCTCCAATCCCATGTTACATGCTTCTTCATATAGTTTGGGTTCTCAAAGTATTTGCTCAGCATGCAGATTAAACAAGTGTGGTGAGAGGATACAACCCGGATGCACTCCTTTCCTGAACTGCGTAGTATCCCTTTACTTGTCTGAAGGAACGCCTCTTGACCCATGTACAGGTTTCACATGAGCACAATGAAGTGTTCTGAAGTTCCCATTCTTCTCAATGTTGTCCATGGGTTGTTATGATCCACACAAACGCCTTTGCATAGTTCAATATAACACAATACAACCTCTTTCTGATAAGTTTTGCTTCCAGCCAAGAGCCATCTGATATCAGAGATGGTATGTCCCTTGTTCCTTGTCTTCTTTATATGGTTTGAAGCAACCTGTTTATGTACCTTAGAATCTAGCCTATTGTTGATTAAGCAGGAACAATCCATAAAGACTTTATGTGACCTTAGTGTGCTTCCTGAATAGTTTCCTATTCATTTAGAGCACTGGGGCACTGAAACCATGTGTTACTTACCCGTGGAGAACGGGGAATCTTGTGTATTTCACATGCCAGCTTTGATGGTGCACGTGTTTAAGTGTTTGGTTGCTAACCAAAAGGTCACTGGCTGGTAACTCACCAGCTTCTCTACAAGAACCAAGATGGGATAACCTGCTCCCATGAAGATTCACCCCAGGACCCACTAAGGGCTGTTGTACTTGGTGACAGAGGGTCCCTGTCAGTGGAAATCAACACCATGACCCTCAGCAATGACCTGTCTTTCTTCAGCCCTCCCACTTTCTCTCTTCCGTCTTGACCAAAGAGCAGCCTCTGCTCTCACTCACCCGTAAACTGACTCCTCTCCAGTCTCTTTGCATCCGGGGGTTCTCTTTCCCTTGGGCAATAGCCCAAACTACCTTCAAAGCCCATGTCAAATTCAAATCAAATGACACCCTTGCCTTAACCCTTGGAACGCTCTAGAGTCCAGGCCCAGCCATCCATGCCAGCCCCCTTTTCCTGACTGCCCACCACTATACCTGCCTGCTGTAAGCCAGGAACACTGGATTTGTTCCCTCACTTCAAAAAGAAAATTGTGTTCCCCTGTGTGCTTGACTTTGCATCTGCTAGTTTCTTTTCCTACAGTCCTGCTTGCTTCTTCCCCCATTTTACCCTGCAAATCATTTCTTAAATGCCCCCCACCCTTTTATCCTAGGGGTGGTGGTGGGGGAGGCGGTGTCTCTCACCACTCTAGTTAAATCTTCCTACTGTGCAGCTCCACATTTCCCCCTGCTGCCACCACACTTGCCACCATTCCCTATCATTCGAATCATCTCCTACTCTAACTCAGCTGTCAGTCCTGTGAGGACAGGGCCATGCTAGTCTTGCTATAATCCAACCCTGAAACCCATCCTTGTGCTTGACACAAAGTGGTCGCTCAACAGAGCAATTAGACAAATTCTGGCCATGTATTCCTTCACGCAATTCCCTTTGAGAGGAGTGTGGGGTCAAAACAGATAGCTAGATGCATCTCAATAAATACTGTTTGCTCGAATACTGGTTTTAAATCAATGCCATAGAGGGCAGCTCCTGATCTGAGTCTTCATGGCAATGAAGTGCAAGCCCAGT